TTTGTGTTTACTTGTGTTATCTTTGTCTAATATTTCAATTTGTTTGATGATCTGAAACATTTCAGTGTGAAAAAAAAAAAGAAATCAGGAAAGGGGCAAACACTTTTTCACACCACTGTACAGATGGCAGTGAACTCCTCTACTCTACACTTTACTGTACTCCTCTACTCTTTACTGCATTTTGACCTCAGAGGAGGTCATTTAAGGATCGAGGCATGAAAAATATGTTATGGCACAGAGGGCGATGAGTCACAAGTACGAAACTGTGAGCCTGAGAGTCCACAAGCCGAGCTCTGACGGACTGCATGTGAGAAAACAGTAAAGCATGCCTCGTGTCCTACAGACGAGGAGGCATTTAAGAGCACCACTCTTGGAGGACAGTGTGTGTGCAAGGGAAAAATAGAATGAAAAGGCTTCCCCAACAGACTGTGACAGATTTGATGGATAACATCCTTAAAGCGATGGCTTGTCCCATGGCCTCATACAGGATACAACTTGGATGGGTGCCAGTCCATCGCTGGGCACACACTGACAGAAACACACTCACATGAGGGCCAAATTTCCCAGAAGTCAATTAACTTACTAGTATGTCTTTGGACTGTGGAAGGAAACTGAACTCCCTAAGTATACCATTGTGAACAAGAGGAAAACATGTAGTCCCCATGCACATAACACTCCAGGTTTTGAACCCAGGCCCCCAGTACTGAGAGGCAGCAATGCTAACCACTGTGCCACAATGCCACCAGCAAAACAAACCATCAGAAACAAAATCAATCACAGGCTAGGCTCTCATGCCTGAGTTGACTGGAGCATTGTCTATTCAATTCAAAAAAGCTAAATTCAGTATAACCAGTATTGGTCAGTTCAATAACTCCAATTAAGTGCAGTCCAACCCAATTCCATGACATTCAGTGCACCTAAACTGTCTAGTCAAATTCATTTCAGTCCAATTCTGTCCAGAGTAGCAATTTGGAGGGTACTATATCTAGAGTGGCACTGTGGAAGGTATTCTAGTAGGGCGAGTTGAATTTAGTAATAATCCTTATATTTATATACTATGGCACTTTTCTGGACACTCCACTCAAAGCACTTTACAGGTAATGAGGATTCCCCTCCACCACCAATGTGTAGTCGCCCCAGGATGATACGATGGCAGTCAAAGTACTCCAGTACGCTTACCACACACTAGATAGCAGTGGGGAGGAGAAGAGAATGATGAAGCTGATTCATAGATGGGGATTATTAGGAGGTCATGACTGGTAAAGGCCATTGGTAATTGGGCAAGACACTGGGGTTAGGACCCCTATCCTTTTCAAGAAAATGCCCTGGGATTTGTAATGACCACGGAGAGTTGCGACCTTGGTTTTACGTCTCATCCAAAGGACTGTGCCTTTCTACAGTATAGTGTCCCCATTACTGTACTATGGGATTAGAACCCACACATACCATAGGGTGAGCACTCCCTTCAAGTCCCACTAACACCTTTTTCAGCAGCAACCTTAGCTTTCCCAAGAGGATTCTTAAGAAGTACTGGCCACGCTTACAACTGCTGAGCTTCAGTGGTTTGCCAGTTATGAGTTAAGATAAGATCTCTTTATTGGCCATTTACAATTTCTTGTATTAAGAATTTGTCTTTTCGCATACCTCAACTTGCTCTCCATGAGACACACACAGACAGAGAAAGAGGCTTGGAGTCAGAGCGCAGGGTCGGCCATTTATACAGCACCCCTGGAGTTGGGGTTAAGGGCCTTGCTCAGGGTCCCAAGAGATTAGGATTCCTCTGCCGGCCACGGGATACGAACCGGCAACCTTCTAGCCTCAGCCACAGATCCTTAGCTGCAGAGCCACCGCACCACCCTGTTGCAGGGTGATATAACTTCAGGTTACCTGGTTTACTCATGTAACCAGGGTTAACACCTCTACTCTTAATGTGAGATTGAAATGGAAGACACAAAATTTCCTACAGCACAATGTCCTTGGTTACCATACTATAACACTGTTGTGGAAATTTTGGGCCATTGGAAAGAGCACCACTTTACAAATCCGGCTAAACTAGTTACAGAGAACTTATTTTACTAGCTTAGGATGTGAAATTTGGCTTTTAGCTGGTAATACCGCTGTCACTAGAGTACAGTCCAGTCAATCTCTCAGTTCACACAAGTATAGTTATTACTAGTCTTTACCAATGTAACAATTTCACAAGAGTCTCATTTAGCCTTTATCCTCCCTTTCAACCAGTACAACCCAGATACTCTCTAAGTCCACAAAGTTGAACTCATTAGCTATCAATCTTCCATTCTTAACCAGTAAAACATACATACTCTTCTAGCCCATACCAGCACAGGGTACTGTACCAGTACTGCCCACTCACTCTTCCAGTCTATACCAGTACATTTCACTTGCTTTTCCAGTGTATACAGGTAGGGACTATTCACACCCCAAGACTCCATGTGATTAGTCAGTGCTAATAAATATATTGTTCTAAAAAAGTAACAGCAAGAGCCTGAGAAACAGAGGGAGAGATGGTGGGGCACTTGAAGGAAGAGAGTGAGAGAGAGGAATGTGGAGGCCAGGTGGAACAAGATTGAAGATAAAAAAGGCAGACAGAATCCAACGAAGAGAAATAGTGGGAACATCAATGGTGAAGCAGGAGGCGAGTTGTAAGAAAATGGTAAGATGAGATGGAGAGAGGAGGATGAGACAGCAAAGAATGAGTGCAATAGCAGGCCTTAGCAGATACAGAGAAGAAGAGTACAGCAATAGGAGGTAAGGTTCAACAGACAGGAGGGAAGAAAATAATTGAAGGTAGAAAGAAATATAGGCAGGTTAAATACTGAGAATCAAAATTAACATCAGGATCAAGAAAGATCTACTCAAAGAAGACAACAGGACAGATGGAGAATGAAAGTAAGAAATGAAAATAAATAATAAGGAATAAAATGGATTACACAAAGTAGAAAAAGCAAAGGGGAACAAAAATAATTGAGGGAGACAGGAAAATAAAGATGACACCAGATTCAAGTCTGGGACACAAAAAGTAGCAACATTATAAATCCCACTAGGAAACAGGAACAGCAGAAGCCACAGGATCCATCACCAATGGGAGCCGTTTCAGTGGTGCCAATGCACAGTACAAGCTGTAAACAGCAGCAGCTACATCAGTAGCACCGAACAGTAGCAAAAGCAGCTGCAGTCACAGTAATGGCAGTGGTAGACAGAGCTGTAGTATTAAATAGTAGCAGCAAATAGAGCAGCAGTGTTAAACGCGAGGCAAATTGATAGCAAATAGCGATGGCAGTGCAACCAAGGATGCGTATTCCCGATCCATCCACTAAAAACTCCGTGGGAGAATCCATGGCACCCGGCTCATCAATATTCATTTATACACCATCCAAATCCTAAATTAACTGAAGCTCCAATTCCAATTCCTTTGCTTAAACTCATCCTGAACCCTAAATCAACCAAAAAGTTCTATATCCTGACCCCTGTGAGTCTGGAACAAGTACTAAGCAATGTTGTTTAAGCTAATACTCTCTCTTCATGAAATGTGCAGACGAGCTCTTCAGGTCAACTAGCTACTGGCAACCACATCACCCCCTTGTTTGTAACCTTTTTTTTCACGTTCTAATTCTGACCCCTCTCAACAGCCGGTAAGTACAACCTGTAGGAGCCATGTTTCTTAGCATAGTTCTGGAGCGTGAAATGGGTGGATCAGCAGCTCCCCACCTGCGCCTCTGTGCCTTACCCTTAGTGTCATTGAGGGGGTCCATGTGCCGGTAAATATAACCCTCTAGGTAGGAGTGGAACTTGGGTGTTGGTGGGAAGAAGTCAAGGCAAATGGCCATCAGCTCCCAGCCACGCTCCAGGCTGTCATAGCGGAAGTTCTCTGTGGTCTGGCGGCACAGCTGAATGTAGAGTTCGTCCCGCAGTCCTTGGCAGCTCCAGCCCTTCACCACGATCTCCAGAGCCACGTTCAGGGGGTCTGTCTTGGCTCGCCGGTCACCCATGTACATCTGGATGAGCTTGAAGATCTCCACTGCCTCCTTCTTCACCCCACGGTCTGTTGTCATGATCATGGGCTTCTTGATCGACTCACTGCTCCAGGCTAGCATGTTGGCAATGGACACTTTGCGCCGGAACAGTCCCTGGGGAGACAACACAGACAGGAAAACGGACAGGAAGAATGAAAGAACACTAGGAAAAATGAACACTGGAACATGAGAACAGCAAAAGTAGTAAGGATAGAATGTAGGAGCATTAATTCTAGAATTATGGAAAGGCTATTTTGCCCATCTATGCTTGTTTGCTCAATCCTAACTTGATACATAAGCACTCAGGAAAGACAAAGCATAGTATAATGTGAGGAAACCTCTGAGGCAGATCGTCTTTCCCTCAGGCATACACACTAAAACTTGTAACACAGTCACATACAGTAAATGGAAGAATCAAAACTCTAATTCAAAGTATTCAAAGAATCTCTGCTACAAGAAATTGAAAGTCCTGATTTAAACATCTTTATCTGGTTACTATTTCAAATATTTGTCATCCTTTTAGCATTCTGACTTCAAATTGCTTCGTGAAAAGGTTGGTTCTTTGGAAATCGACTCTCTTTTTGCCCCTGGTTGGTACTTTCTCTCCTCTCAAGTAGCTACTGAGAAACTGACCTGCAAGACTACAAGCAAAGAACTGTGAATCAGTGGATTGCTCCACTTCTCCCTCAATAAATTTGTACAGTACCTGTGGTATAAAAACCAACCATCTGCATGACATTCAACCTCAAGCCCTTCATGATACAAAACTATAGTAGTTTCTAGATAGTTGAACTGGGGCCCACATTTGGAAGTAATGTCAGATGGAAAGCAATGGATTCTGAACATTTACTTCACCGTCCACTATCTGGGAAGCAGATGGCAGCCTGGGAAGAGGGTCAACATGGGCAGCCTTCAAGAAATGATCCACAATAATGAGGATCACTGAACACTGTTGGAAGCATTGAAGCCACCTGATGAAATCAGTGGAAAAGTTTGGAGAGGCTGTTGAAGGCATGCAGGGAGTGAACGAGAATGCTTGGTTTGGTTGCATGTTGTGACAGGCCGCAACAAAGGAGGCAATGTCATCCCACTTTTTTGACCACCAGAAGTACCGTTGGACGAGCTCTAAAATCCATTGAACGCGTAGAAGGCCCACCTGCCTCGAGATGTGACCTCACTGTAGGACATTGGATCTGATACACTGAGAGACATACAGCTTGCCAGGTGGGGTATCCAGAGGTGCGGGATCAGATGCCACTGTTATTTTCATTGCCTCCTACACAGATAAGGGAGTGGCTCTGATGATGCAGGTAGTGGAATAATGTTTTCGGGCTCTTCTGAGGAGTCATCAGGGGAATGATTCTCTATGTATGCCAGGTTTTTATGACCAGTGAGTGCAAGAAATAGATGAGTTTCGCCTCCAGTTCTTGAAGATTAGTTTCATTGCCAAGAGTTCCTGATTGCCTACTTTGCAGTTTCTCTCTGCAGAGAGTTTCCTGGAGAAGTAAGTGACAGGTGAAGGGAGATGGACCTGAATATTTTTACAGGATGGCCCCCAATCCCACATTTGATGCATCTACCTCTAGCTCAATGGGCAAGTAAGGTTGAGGGTGCCACAAAAAAAGAGCTGTAATGAAGCAGCTCTTTGGCTCTGTGAAAGCCCTGTATGCCTCTGGAATCCATCTTCCCTGACCAAGATCCTTCTTTGTGAGGACTGTGATGGGGGCCATGACCAAACAGAAAGTGCAGTAGAAACTCGCAAATCCCAGGAGCGACGTTTTAGCGAGGTGTGAGTGGTTTAGCCTTGTAGCACTGAGACCTTTGGGTCCATTTGGAGACCTTGAGAGAAGAAATTGTATCCCACGAACAGTACCTCAGGCATGTGGAACTCACAGTTCTCCAGCTCTATATACAAGTGGTGATAGAGTACCAGGTCAGGACAGGTCAGGGATCACCATACAGTATATTCATGATGGCCCTGTTACGATCCCTGCCTCTCGGCAACGGAGGAGGCAGAAGTAGG